TTTCTTCCGTAGGAGCGCCACAAGCGTCACGTCACGTGTCTAAGAAACCGTAACGGGATTGGCTGGGTGTTGGAAGCCAAAATCCCTTGCTAGGTCAAAAATGTGTTCTGAATATATTTTAACACTGAAACAGTAAGAACAAACATACAACATTTAAATTTCAGTGCCATTTTTAATTCAAATCCCAGCGACACAGATTTACTTCCATACAAAATGAGCTCCTTGATATGTGCTTGAGAATGGCTTAGTCTCCATTTAAACCCAGGTTTAAAGCCTTGCAGGGCAGCCTAAAGCCCACTGCCAACATTAAGACAGAAAAAAGAAAGAAAATAACAAACGCTCAGTTCAGGTGTTTGAGAAAATATGGGAATCAGGAAATTATCTATAAACCAAACTGAACGTTGTTCTCTACCTAAAAAAACACTTTAGATTTTAAAATGGAAAAAAAATTCTATTTTTATTTAAAAAGTCAATGTATAACATGGATGCATAAACAACTGCATTTTATTTCACTGTTAGATTTTGTTTAAAGTAACAGATTATAATTAAAAGTGTCTCTGGACCTTTAGTGGTTGATGATTTTCTTTATTCGGAGTGCCTATTTTTAATTGGTTGCCTCTGGGCTAGGACTTAGTGTTTTGTGGGCTAAATTGATTCACACAAAGGAATGGTGGAAGGAAAACATCAATCCCTATTTGCATGTGTAGCCTCAACATGATTTGTGTAACCTGAATGCAGAGTCTGTTCTCTGAGGTCATGCTGTGGTTGCATTTGCTACATAGATGTATGCAAAGCAGAAGCTTCCAGGAAGTTTTAATATCAGTTGTTTAATTTACACAGATGGTGATATACTTTGTGATGGACATGCTGCAAGGCCTGCCTGGACTGCCGGGACTGTTTATCGCCTGTTTGTTCAGTGCGGCTCTAAGGTACGGGGCTTTCCACAGCATCCATGGCTCTTCTTATCAGTCAACTCATCTTTGCAATTTACTTTTGTTTCTCTTTCTGCTGGGTTGTGCTGTTTTTGAAAAGTTTGGAAAATTGCTCCTTATGTATTTTCTAGGTCTGGATGAAAATATATTATATTATATTATATTATATTATATTATATTATATTATATTATATTATATTATATTATATTATATTATATTATATTATATTATATATTGTCACATCATTGTCAACATTGAGTTAAACATTAAACTCTGTTTTTTATTTTTCGTGTTACTCACTAGGAGGTCACTCAGGTCACTGTTCAGTTTCCCCTACATGTAATTGATGGTGACGCACCACCGCTGCAAAATAAAAGCTGCCAAATCTCTGTAATTAATTAAAGACGTTTGTTTTAACAGTGTTACACATATAGCATAATGTATGTTTGCACACTTATTCTTATCATAGTCAGAATTTCAAATGCATTGAAATATCATAACACAGGACTTCCAACTTTTCACCAAACTTTGGGGAAACGGTTTGAACAGTAAACCCAGTCAGGGTTAGATGAGGACAGGTGCAGCTAAAGGTTGGAGGTTTTCAGATGATTTATCTGAAACCTAAGTGGTAAAATGTAATAAAAGTGTAGTAAAAGTATCAAATATACTGTAAACTAAAAATTTCACAATTTTGTTTATTAATTATTCTATACAGTTCAAGTAAAATAAACAATTGGAAACTAATAA